CTGTCCCTCTACTCTACCCAGCATGATGTCCCTCTCCAAAGACCTGTCTCTCCTTGCAACATGTCCAAAGTATGTCAGGCGAAGCCCCAGAATCTTTGCCTCCAAGGAGTAGCCTGGTTTAACCCTCTCTAGGATGAATCTGTTTGTTTTCTTGGCAGTCCCTAGTACATTCAAGACTCTTCTCCAGCACTACAGCTCAAAGGCGTCAATTCTCCTTCACAAGGTGAAGATTACACCTTGGAAAAAGCGGTTCTCCTCTGTCCTGCAGCGTCCTGGAGTCGGAACTGACCCCAGGCAGTGGGTTTGGCTTCGGGAGCCGTTAAACATGCAGCGAATGCACTAGGTTTCTTCCCCAGCAGCGATGAGAATCTGGTCACGCCCACCACACTTGACTCCTTGCTGTGATGGAGCGTCCCCACAGCTCATTATCTTGAAAACCTGCCTTTAAATCTCAGTCATTCCTTGCTTCCTGTCACCACCCTCTGAGGGTCTCTTGCCTGCTTGTGGATTTAGACAGAACGTTGACTGAACAGTTCAGTGAACTGGCGTTCACCTCCCAGCCCTGCCTCTCAAGTCCTGAGCGATGTGTGGTCTCTTCATCTGTTCAGCTTCACTCCATCTGGAGTGGTCATCGCGATGACAGATGAGGCTGTCGGGCCTGAGCTGCCAGTGGCCACTGGTGCCTTGACAGACGAGAGGGCAAGGGGTGTTCCTTCATCAGGGACCAGTTACTCAGACCAGCAGGATGCTGGGGTGCGGAGGGCGCAAGCTGGGAGGTGCCACCCCATGGCCGTGTGCAGCCTGTCCAAGTGACTCTGTGACTTTTCCTGCCTCAGGAAGGAAGAGCCAGGAAGCTGTGCTGTGTGAGCACCTGTGGCCGCTGCCTCTGCAGCCCAAGGCCATCATCCCTGAGGGATGGTGTCGCTAGTGTTCAGAAGGCAGATGCAGAGGGTCCAGAGAGCTCGGGCAGGCGCTGTGGCCCTGTGGGGTCAGAGTCACACAGTACCATTGTTTCAGAACAATGGGGGACAAGGAAGTATTGATGCTATTTAAGATCCTGGCCTGTTCAGCACTTGCAGAGAAGGAGAGGGAAGCAGTGGGACCTGCAGGGGTCCAGGGGGCACGGAGCAGATGGGGACTCAGCAGATGGTCAGGGAGCGCTGTGGGGTGTGGTCGGCATGAGCCCACCCACCCCTCCAGAGTTCTGCACCCCTCGAGGCCACACTCAGCTTTTTTGCTGGGATTCTGTGTGTAGTCTTGGGCCCAACTGTTAAAGTGATAGGAGTGGTGAGAACGCCAGCGGCCGTGAGCATTTGAAGGGTTCTTGATGCTTCCCGTTTCCGGCAATTACAGTTAGGACTGATACGTGAAGTTTCATTAAATCGTTGTTAGGTGCCATTGAGTCAAGTATGCCTCACAGTGACCCTGTGAACAGCAGAGCTGAACGCTGCCCTATCCTCACACTTCCTGACACCCGGGAGCCCATTGCTGCAGTCACTGTGTCACCATGTCAATCCACCTCATAGAAGGTCTTCCTCTTCTACACTGACCTTCCGACTTTCTAAGCATTATGTCCCTCTCCACGGGATAGCAACATGCCCAAAGTATGGGAGACAAAGTTGTGTATAATATATTTAGAACCAGGAGGAGAGACAGACAGACAAGGGGGGGAAGGGGGGGAGGGGAGGAGGAGGAGGAGGAGAAGAAGAAAGAGAAATAGAAGAAATAGAGAGGGGAAAGAGAAAGGAGAGAAATAGAGAAAGAGAGAGGACAGAGGAGAGAGAGAGAGAAAGGGGAGAAAGAGGAGAGAGAGAGAGAGAGGGGAGAGAGAGAAGAGAAATAGAGAGGGGAGAGAGAGAAGAGAGAGGGGAGAGAGAAAGAGAGGAGAGAAATAGAGGAGAGAGGGAGAGAGAGAGAGACGGACCACGGAGGGAGGGAGGAGAGGAGAGAGAAAGAATATATGCATGTGTGTGTATAGACAAAGCTGGGTTGGAATCGGGCCTCTGTGAGGCATATGGTTGACCCTGGGATCAGGTCACTTAACCTGCCAGAGCTGACCCTCCCCTGTCCAAGACAGGCTATCCTGCCTACCTCCTGGGATTACTGACGATCTCAGTGAGGTTGTGCTGTGAAACAGCCTAGGACTTGGCACATAACCTCTTTGCAACAGGATACATGTATTCATCTTCTGAAATGACCTCAAAAAATCTCATCAGGTGCTTTCTCCCACAAGTGGCACCTGGGTGTGGGCCTGCCCCTGCCTGGCATCTGAAGCGAGAGATTCTCTGCTGTGATAGGACAGAGCTGACTTGGTTCTCGGCAGAGGATGGCAATAGCACAGGGTGGGAGCTAGCCGATCAGGTCCAGCACACGCCTTCCTGGCTGCACTGTCCTCACCTCGCTGGCCTGTCCCTGGCTTCCTCTCTGGGGCAGCATTTCTAGAAGTGGCACACGTGTCCTTGCCCAGCCAGAACCTCCAGTACCCTGCATTCCCGCACGCCTCCTGCCATATTCCAAATGACTCGTTCTTGCAACTCTGCTGAGGCCCTCTCCAGCCAGAGCCCACCCACTTGTGAGCAGAGAGCCCGGCGAGCGTGCCCGGTATGAATCCCTCGCTCCCAGCAGCAGCTGCAGCTCTCAGCCTTCTGCTGAGAATATGCTGAGGTGCACAGTCTACTCTTGTCGCTCCAAGTCCCCAGCAACACTGAGCATTAATGCCCAGAGCACCCAGCCCCTGGACACATTGCTGTTGTCAGTTTCCATCAGGTCATCCCCCAGCTCATGGTGACCCATGCACAACAGAACATAACACATCCCAGTCCTATACTAGCCCCAGGAAGCTCTGGTGGCTTAGTGGTAAGGAATCGCTCTGGCAGTGCAAAGGTACCTCGTTCAAATCCACCAGCCCAACTGCTCTGCAGAAGATGGACAGTCTCCTATCATGCTGTTTACTGCTCTTGAAAACCCAGTAGAGGGTCAACTATGAGTCAGTTCCAACCTGAGGACACATTTCAACAGACACCATCCCCAAGAAGGATTCTAGATCACACTGTTATAATAGGATTGTCGTTGGCTAAGTTTCAGAGCTCAATCACCAGGCCTTTCTTCCTGGTGTATCTTAGTTGGAAGCTTTGCTAAAACCTGACCAACAACACACAGGCCTCCACTGACAGATGGTGGGACATGAAGAGTATTGGCTGAGATTGAACCCATGTCTCCACCCAGCAGGTGAGGGCTGTCCTCCTGAACCAGCAATGCCCTCGACATGCCTTTATCATCTTATTTCTCTTGCTTCTTGATTTCCCTTCTGAGGTTTGCTGGGATCCTCTCCTAAATAAACCGGATGCACTCACATCTCTGTGCAAGACAGAGACAGCGGAGGGCCTGCAGTATGCAGGGATGGCAAACAGAGCCTGGAGCAAGGCACAGGGCAGAATGCACTCTGGACGCACGCGCTGCAACAAGTACTTCTGGACGAGGCGCTGTGGCGTTGGGCCCACAGAGCCTGCTGCCAGGTGGCCGCCTCGAGGACCAGCCTTCACCACTCTCTTCCCTCCCTCGCAGTGGCAATGTGGAGCGTTCCGAGTCCATGCACGACAACGTGCTCTCGCTGACAGTGCCGCTGATGCACGAGGTGGACACGTCCATCACTGGGTGAGTAGCCTGGTCGCGGGTTATCAAATGCAGGGCTGCCCCCCAGTGGAAACCTGGGCTCGTCTTGTGTTTTCAAGTGTCACTGCGATTTGGTACCTTGCTTCAGCTGCATGACCGGCACATTTTAGGTCTATTTCTTGGCTCCCCACCCACCTGATGCATTGCAAGAGACGTTGGATGATAGGTGTCACACCTAAGCAACCCCCCCCAAGTCTTTGAACACTGCGTGCACTTTTATTTGCATGTGCCCCAGCCTCTGCCCTTCCAGAATGCCCTGGGGGACCAGGCAGCAAGGTCTCTGGGATTAAAATCTCAGCCAGAAGCAGCTGGGACAGAGGCTACAGCCAGATGGATGTACCCCCTACCCTGCCTGAGGCTGGTTTTGTGATCACAGCCAACCCTGCAGTGGCTTTCTTTTAACCCCTTCAGCAGAGGCAGCTCTGTAAGACACCATCTGGAAGGGGCAGGAACCACCACGATGCCCAGCCACCATCCTGGGTGAGGTCCTGTGACCACTCTGGGCTGCTGGCTCGCCTCAAAGCTAGTCCTGCGGCCACCAGAGACCAAAAACGACCCGTGTCGATTCTCAGCCAAAGTTGGGCCTGGAAAGACAAGAGCTCAGTTCCTGTTTTCTGGCTTCAAAAAACAGCGCTATGTACCTTTTTGATCATGGAAAGCATATTTGCACAAATCATTCAGCTCAAATGAGGACCCACTGATCCCTGGTGGTCAAGGCAAGCAGAACTTTGTAGAAATTCATTGTTGCTCAGTTTTCAGTTTCTCAAGTTCTCCAGGGCCCAGCTGGCTGGCTGGGAAGGGGCGTCCTCCCCCTGCACTGACTCCACCAGCATAGCTGGCTCTGAGTGTGCCCGCTCCTGAACTCTGCATTTTTCATCATGTTCTGAGACCTTGGTGAATATATTTGTAAATTAGCATATATTTGCCTCTGTTCACAGCTCTATTTTTAACCATACTGTTTATTTGCTGTGCCCCAAACAAACCCTATCTTTGGGGACAAAAGGGAAAACCATTGCCAGTTGATCCTGTGGGGCTTGGAAAGGAGCCCTTTCTTTCCTTGAGGTGTTAACAGCCCCTGATGAAGTATTAGTTAAACAAACGAGCCAGCCTCTGGCCCTTCCAGGAACCTCAAATTCAGAGAGTTTCAGTGAGCATGTCCGTGCCATGTGGCGATGCGAGAACTTCCCCGTGTTTCTAAAATCGAAAATTAAGTGGACGAGAGATGAAGTGTTGTCCATTCCAACTTGGCAATAGTATCCTCTGCTTCCTGTAAGTAAACACAGCAGTATCTTGTGTTTAGGAAAGTGAGCGCCTTCTAGGATCTCCTCTGAAGTCATTTATTTGTCTGAGAGTTTGAGCAAATCTGGGCTTTATCTCATCCCTGGGGGTTTTGTTCATACGAGCAGCTCTGAAAATGGTGCTGCACAGTGAACTACAGTCACCCCTCGAGTTCCTGGGTGGTTGCAAGCAGTTAACACACGGGGCTGCTCCTCGAAAGGTTGTAAGTTTGAGTCCACCCCTGGACACCTCAAAAGAGAGACCTAGCGATTGCTTTCTGAAATCATCAGCCGTCAGAAGAGACAGAACCGAGTACAATTCCTCGCAAACCTGAGGCATAGCCAACTCCATGGCAACTAGTTTAGGCTTGTGCTATTTAAAATATTTTAAAAAAACCAAAACAAACAAACCCAACAAACAATAAAGAATGACTTTCACCCAACTACCTCAACTTTTAAATAATTACATAATTTCTAGTAACCTTTGAAGAAAGGCAAAATCAAGGTTTGTTGAAAAAGGATTTGACCCAAGCGCAGTTTAGAATCTCAACTCTGTAATTCGCTCACATTTCTGTCTTGAAATGTTGCCCATAATCTTCCTTGATTGACAGAATGTTTCTCAAACAATGGTGCAGAAAATGTATTATTTCATCATCCAGTGTTATTACGGGTGGAGGAACCACGGAAATGGAAGCTACTGCACTTTTCTTTGTTGTTTTAGAAATGGAATCCCAGCACGTGTGTGTCAATATGGCTTAATGGGTTTGACATAAGGTGACATTTCAGACATTGCGGGGAGAGTGTTTAGAAGGCACAGGTCAGCCCGGACCACTCGTAAGGGAGGGAGGAAATAGTTCCATAGGGAAGGTATTTGGGGGAAGGTGCTGGGGGACAGCAGGCACAGAGGTTGGGGTTCCCCGGATATCCGGGCCCGTGGGTGCTCGGTCATGGACTGAGATGGTAAGGTCATGCTTTCCTTCTCCAGGGTCGTGTCGCCCACCTCCTTTGTGTACGGCGAGTCTGTGGATGCGTCTAACTTTATTCAACTGGATAACCTGGAGTGTCACTTCCAACCCCTCAACATCACCCTTCAGGTACCAATCCCTAAGACCTTCTGTGTCACTGGGGGCCAATAGGATGTGTCCCCTTGCTGAAAGCTCAAGAAAGCACTTTTCAGGACCTTTCCAGGAAAACCCTTCTTACCCTATTGTCTGGCATATGGGTGTGTGTGTGTGTGTGTGTGTGTGTGTGTGTGTGTGTGTGTGTGTGTTCTGTAACCATAGTGATTATTGTCTTTCTCTGTGTGCACACCTCTGCCTGTTTGAGTCTCAGAAGCACCATGGTGAACACCAGCTTTCCCCACGGCAGCCCTGGGCAGCTGAGGCGTGAGCCAGCAACCTAGCCTGCATGGCTCCACCAGAATCACTTCTGACCTCGGTCATTCTTCACAGCGTGGACAGGCTAGTCTCCAAAGCTGTGCTGCATTTCCTCCTTCCTGAGGCTGGCCGTTCCAACTCAGCCAAAGACTGACTCCTGACGAGTATGGTCTCTCCAAAGAGAAAAGCAGTGCGAGTCTATGGCAGCCACAGGAGATACTGTGTCCAGTCCCAGGGCACCTCCACCATCGCTCGCCCAGTGCGCACTGTGACTACCCCGAGGGCAGCCTGCCTTCCCTAAATCAGAGCGTGGCAGAATTCTTCTGAGAAGAACTATAGTTTAGGTTTCTCATATTACATTGCCTCTAAAGTGACTGTAGGGAGCTCTGGTGGCCAGAAGCTGCACTGCAATCTCAAAGGCACACAGTTTGAGGACACCAGATGCTCTGTAGGAGAAAGATGGGCAACCTCCTCTTGTGTGATTACTGCCTCTGAAGACCTGCTGGAGGTCAGCTGTGGGTCAGCTCTGACTCAACGGAACACAACAGCTTAGTGTACATAAAGCTTTCATATGCGCTCACACACACTGCCACCAAGTCAGAACCAATTCACAGCTGACCCTCCGGCGGGTTTGCAAAGGGTATAAATCACACAGGAGATTGTCCGTCTTTCTCAGAGCAGCTGGTGGATTTGAACCTCCTGCCTTTGGGGCAGTCAGCACAGTTCCTTACCCACTAGGCTGCCTGTGCAATTCCTTACCCAGTAGGCTGCCTGCACTAGGAAAGAAAGAAAATCTTGTGACTCACTTAATATTTACTTTATTGCAGTTGTCTGGAATCAAACCTGTATTAGCTCCAAAATATGACTATGTTGTAGATTATGTATATGCATAATTATCTCATTTTTGTTATTGTTTCTTTTTGGATACTGACATTTGAATTGCATTGAAGTTCCAGGTCTTAGGAAATATAGTTCTTTGGGTTCCTTCCCCACAACAACCATTTAGAAAGGTAAAACCATTCTTAGCTTGTGAGCCCTGAGTCAGATTGGCCTGCAGTCCTGCTCAGAAGGGTGAATTCTCAAGCCAGCGCTGTTCAGTGTGTGAATCTGTGGATGTAAAGCTGGAAGGACCAGAGTGATCCCCAGTCCTTCCTCTCAACAGCAAACACAGGGGCTTCTAGACCCAGGCAGGGAAGGACATGCTCACAGTGAGGCCACGTTCACAATCAGCTGTTACCAAACAGTTGGAAGTTCGAATCCACCCAGGATAACTTTAGAAGAAAGACGGGAGCAGGGTTCTCTTCTAGTACATGTGGGGTCCCAGTGAGTCAGCATTGGCTTGAAGGCAGCTTGTTTGGTTTTTGGTGAGGTCTTGGAGCTCTGAGAGGCACACAGGGGACTACGGCCTCTCGGGCATTAACCAGACACCCTCGTGTGGCCCAGTCCCCCACCAGGAGCAGCAGATGAACTCAGTAGAGGGACAGACACTTGGAGCTAGAAGTGCAGAGCACGGGCCTTCCTTGCCTCGATGCATCATGGGAATCTGCAGGTCTAACTCCCAGGACTCTTCCCAGCTTCCTCCCAGCCCTCCCCCTGGGAGAGAGAATCCCGATCCAAGCATTCACTGCTGTGGCCGAATAATTATTACTTTCTTTCTCTGCATCCTCTCTCGAGGTAGACCCAGGGGATGACAAATAATGACAGGGTGAGGGTCAGAAAATGAGGCAGTAAAACATTGGAGGACTCTTAGAAACAATGGTCTTCCTCTCCCCAGAGCATTCTGGGCAGGAGACCTCCGAGCTGTGATGGATAACACATGTCCCCAGCTCCGAGAGGATGCGTCTCTGGACTGACTAAGCCCCAGCTGTCACATCCTTCCCTTGATTTACAGGACAGTGAGGGAAGGATGGGGTCACCACTTCGTCTATGACTGTGGAGCCAGCGCTGTGAACAGAGCCTCTGTGTTCCTGAATCGCCTCTCAGGGTTCTTTTTTTTTTTTTTTTTGCAGTTGGGCAGAAAGATAAAGGACCAGGCGGATTTCTTTCATTGTCATTGTTTATACTCTTTTGTTTTTGCTCTTAGAAAGACATTGAGGTGTCTTGCAATAAAAAGATAAAGTTGCAAGAGTAAGTTAAAAAGGTATAAATGGCACAGAGTCCACATAATAAAGAGGACATAGAGCTTGAAAGGAGAAGGCAGGAGGGGCTCGGAGTTAAAACAAAAGATACAGGAATGCTCTTATCGCCGGGCACAGAAAGGGAGGAAACCGGAGACCCTGAGATTAAGTCATGTTCCTCGGAAGGCATTTTTCCACGGAGCTTAACGTGTGATCTTCCAGACCAATAACTTTCTTTGCAACTGACCTGAAATAGGATACAGTGGAAAGAGTTCAGGCCCAGGGGACCGAGTGATTGGCATGCCCCTCAGTAAATTTCTTGATTTTGGAGTGTCTGAGAGTGCAGAGCTTCTAGTTCAGGGTTAAGAGAATTGGCTGGGTCTGCAGGATGGAGGGTTTCTGTCATTGGTTAGAAGGGAACCTTCTGGTGTTAGCAAATCGGACTGTTTCCTTGAGATATCCCTGATGACTGTTTTGTGGTGTGGTGTTGATTAGTTGGGGTTTTTTTTTCCCTTGAAATCATCTTCATTATTCTGATTGTCCTTCAGGAAAGTCCCTAGAGAATGGGGTCAGGGAAACAGATGAAACTCTTCTGTGTGTTAAAGAATGCAGTTTAACCAAAAAGGTCAGCCGTTCAAACCACCAGCTGCTCCTGGGACGAAGATTTGACAGTCTGCACCCACAAGGCGGCCCAGCCCTGCAGAGCCTGAGATCAGTTCTGCTCTGCTCTGACCTGTAAGGTCTGGAGGACTCAGAATCACCTCGGTAGCGGTGTTACTCTGGGCTCACTGCTCCGGTTTCGGGCCCTCTTGCCTGGACAAAGATTTGAACCTCTTGGGTGGGAGACAATCAGAAAGAAGATTGGTCGTGGATGAATCCGCTGGCTTTGCCCTACTTCAGGCCTTCATAGATGGTTTCTTCTGCCCGAAAGAATCCCAGCATAGGCTGACCCCCTTGTTAGAGCACACAGCTGAGAGGCAGAGAGACAGAAGTGACGGTAAAAACACAGTTTTACTAGAAAAGACACGTCCCAGAGAGCGAGACGAGTCATTTTCTAAAAGTAAAGAAGTAGAGAAAGATACTGAGCCACGTGTGTCACGGGTTAATAAAACAGCTCACTTCCTCATTTTGGGGTGCTTTGGGGCTTGAGTCTGGACCAGTGGAATGATTGATGTCCCAAGGAGTTCAAAATTTGACGAGCAGTTCCGTTCCAGTTCTCTCCCTCATCTGTTTCAATGCAGTGTACATAATTTATCCCCTCTTTTCCTAGTTTCCCCCTAAACCCAATGTCAGCCCTGTTTTACAACAGTGGCACCATGCAGTATTTGTCCTTTTGTGACTGAGATATTTCACTCAGCATAATGTCCTCCAAGGTCACCCATTTTGCATAATATTTCATGAGTTCCTTGTTTTTCATTGTGTGAGTATATCAGAGCTTCTCTATCCATTTGTTTGTTGATGGGCACTTGGGTTGTTTCCAGCTCTTTGCTATTACGAACATAGCCGCCAGAAACATGGGTGTACATATATCTGCTTGGGTGACAGTTATGGTCTCTTTGGGGTATATTCCCAGTAGTGGAATTGCTGGGTCAAAGGTATTTCTATTTGCAACTATTTGAGAAAGCGTCATACCACCTTCCACAGTGGTTACACCATTTTACACTCCCACCAACAGTGAATAAGGGTTCCAGTTTCTTAACAACCTCAATAATACTTGGTTTTTTCTGCTCTGTTAAATTTTGCTATTCTTCCTGGGGTGAGATGGTATCTCATAGTTGTTTTGAAATCATAGATGTTTTCATGCGTGTTCAAGGATTCCCATTTCTTTTGAAAGCTCCCTATGTTTCATTCTAATTTTAATCTCCAGGTTTGCAAACCCTAGCATTTCTGTGTATCATTTCGCCGAATGTTACATAGATTGCATGTAGCAAAACGAAAATCTGTAATTTGCATTTATTTTGTTGTGTGTCTCACACCCGCAGGTCTACAATACGGGGCCAAGCACCCTCCCGGGATCATCAGTCAGCATCTCTTTTCCCAACCGACTGTCCCCTGGTGGTGCGGAGATGTTTCACATTCAGGAGATGGTGGTGAGTTTTCAGTGTGTTCGCGTGGTTGCACTCAGACCCAAGCCAGCTCGTTCACATTTGGTACCCACCCCATGCCTGACCTCCACCCCGAGGGCTTGGAAGTGTAGCTCATGTGCCCTTTTGACTCATACCTGGAGAAACCGGGAGGTCTGTGACATCTGAATTCCTCCACTGAGATGGTTTGATTAATGCTTTCAGAAGACCTGGTTGGAAATAGGGAAGGATTGATTATGAACGTCACTCCTACAACAGATTTCTGGGCTCTGGGAAGCACAGAGGTTGTCTGCTGACATGTGTGTCAGTCGGAAAATCTCTGAGGATATCTGAAGCATTCGTGAAGATTCTCCAAGGGGTCCCTGATATCTAGAGGATGAAGAATTTACAGGTTGAAACTCAGATTTACATGCAGAGTAAATTCACTCTCCGATCTCAAGTCAACGGTAGATTTGTTTTTCAATTATTTGACTAGAAGAGTCACTTCTTCTAATCAGAGATGCCAAACAGTCCTTACTTAGGGAACTACTTAACCAAATTGGCAAGTAAGTTCCCATGGATCAAATAATACTTTGCAGGGGTTACATGTGACTCTTCTAAAACCGAGAATAAAATAGTGACAATTATAAGCTATAAAAAGAAAAAGGAAGCCCTAACAGCACATTGAAGATTAAACTATGAGAAAAAGAATTTCATGTTATGAAATTATCAGTTACTTTATAAAATGGAAGTTTCCATGTAAAGGATAGTGTTAATTGTAGATGATGTTATCTTTAGGATGGTGTGGGAACTGGGATGATCATTCCCACCCTCCTCCCTGAAGCACTTTCTTTGCTTGGCTTCTGGAATATCACATAGACCTGGTTTCTCCTTTCTCACGTACTTGTCTTCTTATCCCCTTAACTTCTAGAAGGTTCAGGGCTTCCTGTCCTCTCCCCTCTGTCTCCGAGAGCTCATCCAGACTCTTGACTTTGTATCCAGTCTGTGCTGACAACACCAAATATTGATCCCCAGCCTTGACTTCTCCCAGGAATCCCAGACATATGTGGCCAGTCACCTGCAGGCCACCTCCACGTCACAGCCTTCTCATCCCTAATTCAGAACTGAATTCCTGACCGTTAGCTTACAAACCTGATTCTCCCACAGCCTTCCCCGTCTCTATCCATGGCTGGTCTATGTTTCCAGTTGCTTTGGTAAAACCCTTAGGTCTTCTCTCTCTCTCTTTTTGTTTTTGAATGTTTTTTATTTCTACCAATTTTTTTTTACTAGTTTATTTACAAAATTCTAATACAGAGTCAAACAAATTCTTTCAATTTCTCCCACTCCCCCACCCATCAAATTGTACAATCCAATGATTAATGCCCCCAGCCCCTACATATATCCACATCCCTCTACTTCCAGCTTCTCCCACCCCTCCTGGATCCTTATACTCCTTCTACAGTAACGGTCTTAAACAACATTTATCCTTGTGACACTGAGTTAGTTCACTCAGCATAATGCTCTCCAGTCCCTCCCAAATTAGGTAGTAATTTGCAAAGTTATTGCTCCTGCGTGCTGCATGGTAGTCCATTGTGTGAATGTACCATAATTTCTCATTCATTCGTTTGTGGTTGGACATTTGGGCTGTTTCTATTCCACTACTTAGAATATACCCTGAGAATATGAGAACTGAGGCACAAACTGAGATTTGTCCACCAATGTTCATAGCAGCATTATTCTCTCTTTCTTGATTGATCTATTTCTTTCACACTTTGCTCATTGTCCCTGCAAGCCCCGCTGGAACAGCAGAAGAGAAGCAGAAACCCTAGTGTTCTGTGTCAGTAGTGTGGCGGGAGAAGTTAGTTATGTTATTGATTGACTAGTTCAACCCAGGAATAATTTCTTGCAACATTGGTGGTTGAGCTTCCTAAGAGTCAGACTTGAATCTGGTTTGCCATATATTAAAAAAAAAACAACACCAAATCAAACCAAACAATCCCACCACTGTACCCCTCTACTCTCCTAATGTTCTGGCTATATGTCAGAGAGCTAGACAATGACTAGGGAGGATAGAAGGAGAGTTGATGCCTTTGAGCTGTGGTGCTGGAGAAGAGTACTGAATATACCATGGACTGCTAAGAAAACAAACAGGTTTGACCTGGAGAGGGTTAAACCAGGCTGCTCCTTGGAGGCAAAGATTCTGAAGCTTCATCTGACATACTTTGGACATGTTGCAAGGAGGGACAGGTCCTTGGAGAGGGGCGTCATGCTTGGGAGGGTGGAGGGACAGCGCAGGAGAGGAAGACCCTCTATGAGGTGGATTGATTCAATGACTGGGGTAGTGGGGATGGGTGTATCAGAGACAGTGAGGTTGGCACAGGATAAAGCAGGGTTTAGGGCTATTGTATATAGGATTTCTATGGATCACAGGTGACTCGAAGACACATAGCAAAAACAATAATTTAAAGGTAACTCGTTCAGATTCACCAACAGCCTTGGGAAGAAGACAGACAATCTCTTCCTTTATGGCCCTTAGCTCCTAAAAACCTACTAGAAGGTCAGTTATCAGTCGACTCAGATTCCATAGCAATGACTTTTAGATTTTTGGTTTTTTGAAGATTGGTGTGTTTTGTTGTTTTGGGTTTTCTGGGGTTTTTCTTAATAAACCTACACACTGATCTGAGATGTGATGCCCTGATGAGGGCAGGGTTCCCAGGTACTCAGCCAGCACACCTCCGTTAAGGCCCACGGCTTCTGAGAGCCAGGACATACTGCAGCTCAGCACAGTTCCCAGCCCTCACTGGGTCAGGTGTGCCTCGTGAAACTCACAGAGTTCTTTACAAGTTCTTCACATAGGCCTCTGGGCACTTTGACTGGAGCAGGGTTGTCATCCTGACGATTTGTGTGACTTGGTGATAGTTTGTATCTTCCTGGGATAAACCAGCATTCATTCTCTGTGATACAACCTAAGACCTGCCATCATGCCCACCACACCCCCACTCTCAGCCATAGCCATTGCCAGCCTCAGACAGGCTAGTGGCCAGCAGGGCACCACATGAGCCTTCTAAACCCACTGTAGCTTGGAAGCCAACGACAGACGTGGAGGACTCTTCTGCCGTCCCTCGCTTTGCCCTGTGTGACCCACACTGTGTCTCTTAATTGTGCCTTGTGGTCATCACCTTCACAGAATGCTGGGGGTGCAGGGTGGCCCCACAGGCCTGGACCCCCATATGTACCACCCAGAGTCTGCAGCACCATTTCTTGACTGTTAAGCCATGTTCATCCAGAAGTCTCCAGGGCTACTACTGAGAGATGTCGCAAGAACAGCCTGCCTCTAGTCTAGGCTCCACCAAGTATGCTTTTGTTCTCTCCTAAAGGGTGGTGGCCTACCTGATAGAGAGTTGCACTTCCAACTCCAGGGTGGATGGTTCAAATCCACCAGCTGCTCCATGGAAGAAAGAATGGGCAGTTTATTTTTTTGTGATTTATAGTCTCTGAAAACCCACTGGAGGGTTCATCTGTAAGGCAGTGAACAACAGCAGAGGGTTAACTGAGGTCTAATTCAAGTGCTTTAGCTTATATGGGAAAGAATGCTTTTGTTTACTCAGGAGCGTTTACAGCCTTCCTAATGAAGTATGGCTATCCACTTCATACTCTCAGTCCTGGTTCATGATCTTCCTTTCCCGGAGCCCCCTCCCCTGCATATGATTTTATTTAGAAACAGCTGTTTTGACCTGAGAAGAAACTGTCAATTCTCATTATGCCCTCTCCCCACTGGATTGTGCAGAGTCCCCTGGGGTCCCACTGAATTCCCAAAACAAAAATGTGGACAAGTTATTGTGAGCTTAACTGTCCATCAGCAACTAAGTTGAAATGACCATGAGGATAATAGAAATGGGAGAATGGCAGACTTTGTGGTTCATTTAAAA